AATGTAATCAATCATATGGCCGAAAGTAAAGCCCTTCGAAACCTGGCTGGGACTTAGATTATAAAAATATTGTTATATTGAGGGTTAAGTACTACACTTACCACTTTAAACTCTAACGTTATCTTCTTTACAAAAATTAAATAAATTCTACAAAATAGCTAAATTCGAAAACAATCTAGATTTATATCACTTACATTTGCCTAACGCAATTGCCTAAATCTCAAATCTAGATTTAGATGAGAAAAATATATTCAAAAGTGACAATCCTGCCCAACACGTGGTACAGACTTCAATGTTTCGACTTAAAGTAAAATGGCGGTCGACAGGTAGTACCCGTCGTTGCCACTAAGAGCGCTGTAACCATGCTTACAGCAGCCATTGTATGTGGTGTATTCTAGCTCGTTGGTCACACTACAGATTTTAAATTGTCTATTTCATGGTTATTGTTTTAAATAATACAGCAAATCGCAGTTATTAAATTTCATTGAAAATTGGATAGAAATGGTATAAAAAAGAAAATAAGAGGAAAAATTACAAATTAATACAGCTACATAGAAAGTGTTTCCTGGTAAAGCGGCTTTAATACAGCAGGATATACAGATGCAATCACATAGTTCGTTTAAATGTTTAATTAGTATACGGCAACGCAACACATGGGCGATCTGCCGAGGGGAAACCTCCCGGGAGGCCTTTTATGGGAAACTGGTCCATATTTAGGTGTTACTAACGTGAAGAAAATCTGGAAAACTCCACGTGGCCAGCCCGTTGGCCAGGCGACCAACTACCGGTGTTCAGTGGTTTTATCCATTCGGCCACTGATGGACTCGTTTCAAATGAAGCAGGCCATATCATTGGCTTGCTTATCCAGCTGTATAAAAGCCTCTATACCAGGGACGCACTCAAAGTAACGATGCTGTTATCAATCACGTGTATTTGAATGCTCTTGTATGACTGCGTGAACTCGTGCTGCAATGATTTAAGTCTTTGTTAAAGTGTAGCATTAATTAAAAATATATATCCCCTTTTCCGTGTTATATTCTATAAAGTAATTATTATTCCATAATTAAAAGTAGCTTGAAATCGATTCGAGAATATAAAGGACAATACGAAGAAAAGGGAATTCAGTCTAATCAATATCAAATGAATGTATTTCTCGTAAAAAGACGACACGTGTTGTGGCTCAAACATGTTTATTTATTTAACTTCAGAGTTTTTCCATGTATTTTATAGCAGATGACCAATAATGGCGTCTTTATCGTATGCCATTTGTAGTTTCACAAATAATTTAGATTATAATGTTTAAACAAAACGTAAAGAGAATATCATTATTTTTCGTATTAATAGAGTCCAAATTATGTAATAAAAATTATCTATTGAATTATTGAGTTAGATTGATGCAACACATGAGCAATCAACCAAGGAGATTGCCTCACAGGTGGACTTACTATGAGAAACTAACCCCATTCTAAGTGTTAATAATGCGAAGAAAATCTAAAAAAAAACTTCGTATCCAGGCCAGCCCGTTGGTCAGACGAAAACTTGAGACAAACTGCCAATGTTCGGTTGCTGTATTCACCCAGCAGTGATGGGTGAATATTTTAATGAAGATTGATATTTCTAATAAGAAAATAGTCCTGTAAATTACTTCAATGGTAAGCCAATAAAACTTATAAAGTATTGCTGACGTGTAGTGACTACGGAATTAAAAGTTTGATTATTTACGATACATTAAATATGAATAATTTTTCTGGCTGTTAATGTCTTTAGTTACAATTCAACCGTAAACGTTCCAAAGTGATGAATACATTGAAAATTTCATCTATTGTCATTAAAAAAAAGCAATTACTCATCAGAACATATTAACAGAAAATTATGGAGAATTACATTAATATGAAATGTATGTAATGATATTTACAGTCGACCCCCATAACGCTATTGATTATTCCGTTTTATATGAATTCCATGTTGTATGAGTCACTTAGATTTTACAAATACGTGTTCCGGGCTGTGAACGGCTCACGTATTTATAAAGTCTAAGTGACTCGTACAACATGGAATTCATATAAAACGGAATAATCAACAGTGTTATAGGGGGGTCGACTTGTATTTATTTCATTTGTGAAGATCGCGACTGTAGATTTTTTAATATTTGAATTTGAAATTTTATACTTTTTTAAAATCTATTATATGATTTTTAATGTATTTTGGTCGTTTCGAGATATACTCTACAAAATGTAACCCTTATTTGTCATATTACTACCAGATTTCGTTTTACCACTGATAAGGCAGCGTGAACTTCATTATGGAATAGCTTCCCTTCAGTGCTAGAACAGCCATATAGACTCTGGACTCTCTGTGCTGTGTGACGTCATCGTCGCTATTCGGCAATAGCCGTAAAGAACGTGACGGGTCCCGGAATTATGGACTTCAAGGCTACTCTATCCCTTCTCCTGACGTCATATTTTTGGTTTATTACAATTTTTCTTTCTCACTTCATCACTTGAAATTACATAAATTAATTTTTCTAGACATTAAAATTTTATTATACAGTTTCGGGTCCGAGCCCAGGCTATAGTGCCGGTTTCTCTTCCCTTTTGCATTCTGATCGTTTAACAATGGTCCCCTCTGTTGCGTGACTCGAGTGCCCCTAATAATAGAGTTCGATTAAGTCTGCTCAATAGAAAAATTGCGGTTTTAAAATCAAAATCACCTGATGTAAAGAAGAAATAAATTCGATGTTATTTTCTAATTTTTTAAAAATTTTCTTGTATATTATTATCACTTATTAATTTATCTAATACCTAACTAGGGATGAATTTCCGATAGAAAGTTTTCCCGAGAGGCATCTTCCTTTGACATATAACTGAAGAGTTAAAGGTGGCAGCATACTGCTCTGCAGACCTATGATCGGAAAACTCCAGGAATATTTTGGGGTGACCCCTCCAGATATGCCGGGTCCCCACCCTTACCACCCGGCCGGCCGGGTGGTAAGGGTCGGGATCCGGAATATCCGGAGACCCGGCATATCTGGAGGATTGCTCCCTCCAGATATGCCAATTGTGGGCCTAGCTTAACCCATAATGGGTTGCTAAGAACGCCGACTTAGTGTTCATAGGGTGAAAAAATAAAAAAAAAATCCCCTTGGTACATCGTCCATCGCTTTGCCGTATATCATCAAACAAAACCAACTTATTTACATACGCTTTATTGGTTTGGTCAGGTCCGCAATGAGGACGGCCGGATGTTAAGGGACGGGTCCTGACATACCGGGACAGACCATTCATAAAATATTCCTGGAGAGTTGCTGGGTGGAATTCGACGGCCAAGTGGAGTTTTACGGGTTTTCTTCACGTTTGTAACCCCTAAATAAGGGTCAGTTTCCCTTCGAAAGTCTTCCCTAGAGGCATTCTTTCTTGGTAGATCGCCCGTGTCGCGTTGCCGTGTACAAATAAACCAACCCAATCTTAAATTTTTAAATTTCGTAAAATGTTTGTCAATTAAAACATACGAAACATATTTATATAAGAATTTAGTATAAAACGCATATTTACAAAATTTAAAAGTTTTAGTGACATCATATTTCTATTAACCAATCACATTACGATCCGATGGGGTTTTCCTTAACCACCAAAATTTCATAACATCGATACCCTTTATATACAAGTTACCTTGCCCTATTTCGTTTCTTACTGTTTACTCCATCCTCCGATACTAAACAAAGTAGACTCCCCCACACACACTCTCAGACGTATACATATACACGTACTGTACTGTACTGTACATATATATATATCCGTGGTACTTCCAGTTTTATTGACTTTTTTGGATTCCGGAGGTCTCAGAAAAGGCGATTTGCAAAAAATTTCACACGATTCCAATACTTCACGTATACCGTAGCTCGGAAAGTAATACCGTGTAAAGTAATACAAGTTTGTGGAACCTCTAAAATCCAGTGTCCTTTTTCGTTTGCCAATCGAACAAAACTATTAATCCGCCCGCCATTGTGTTTCCACGAGAATTGACAAATTATTTCGTGTTTCCGCGAAATTGATAAAATATAAAAAGTCGTTATCACCAACGGATCTATAAAGGATCCGAAACGCAACTCTCGTGTTTATATCATTTGTTCCAGATAAAGAAATTATTCGTAAATAATAAAATCAAATTTTAATGATTTAAAATTCAGAAATTTTGCATTTTGATTGGCCGAAACGAAGCATTATTTCGATTCAAAATTATTCGTTGAAAATTTTGTTCGCGTCTATTTTAAACGATGCGACGATCTCGATTTAGACCCTGTACACACTAGGCGTTTTTCAACGCGCGTTTTGCGAGCGCTTTTAAACGCGCGTTTTGCGAGCGCTTTTAAACGCGCGTTTTGCGAGCGCTTATAAGAACCAAGAGTTCTATGTAGCCGTACACACTCAAAAGCCAAGCGCGCGTTAAACGCGCGTTTTGCGAGCGCTTATAGATTTTTGTTAAAACGCGCGTTTTGCGAGCGCTTTACGGGCGCTTTGAGATATATGTGCTGCCATGTTACCGTACATGCGATCGCGCGTTTTGCGGGCGTCAGCCGAGCGCTTTGAGATATATGTGCTGAAATGGAGAACGATCATTTCGATACTAATCTATTTATTGATGAAATCTAAAAGAGACCAACCATCGTCAAAGGATTTTATAGATATTTTAAAAGAATTAAAAAACTTGAATTTATTTTGTCTTAGTTTTGGATACAACGTCGCAAACATTTCATGCGTCAGTCTATCTCGTAATATTGGGTGCACCCAAAATTCTCTTTGCCTCCGCCGTCGTCTTTTATAGCGACGATAGTGGAGCCACACACAAGCAATCACTTCCACATCCATTTCCAAACCGAGCCAGTGCGCACGCTCCGCTAAACGCTCGTAAAACGCCTAGTGTGTACAGGGCCTTAGTCGCATTTAAAGCGCACGTCGGACAGATCAACGAACGTCCACGCCTCTTCTCGTTTTTCAGTCGCTTTAAGAGTCCGTTCGGCGCGATCTTCTTTCTGCACATCGCGCATCGAATGATTTTTGTACCGGAGGAGTTTTCTTGTTGGAATTTTTGGCAGTCTTTTCGCACGCTGTCACGTGCTCACGTAGTACGGATAAAAGAATCGTTTCCCCACACGAATGGCAGATGGCATAATGCGTGACCATGATTTTCTTCACTTCCTTGACCCGATCGTCTCTCTTTTTAATTTTGCTTATCGGACAGCGACACATCGGACAGGCTTTCGTGATATTTTTGGCATTCTCGATACACGTCATGCAGAAGAGATGGCCACAAGTGAGGATGGCCGGGTCGACGTAAACATCCAGACAAATGGGACATTTGATGTGAAAAATGTCCAATTCTTCTTCTGCCATTTTTTCGACGTGTAATTCCAACAATTGCCTGGATATTATTATTCTATAATACAAATCGTTTGGATTGTTTATTCGTTCAATTATTTCGTACCCAGTTATTTTATAATTTAACTTAGATGTTGTACTCGTTTACATCCTTCGTATACAAGTAATGCATTATCGTGTCGAAGCGTTCCTATTAAATCTCGTTTAGCCTAATAACTCTAACGAAATTTCCTACAAATCGCCTTTCTCCCCGGCGATACAAACACGAAATTATATTTCCCTATTACTTTCCCGGCTGTTATACACGACACAGGGAAAGTATGGCCATCGGTCAAAAAGTGACTTCCCACAAGATTTTTACATTCTTGAACTCAGTGAATCTTGGAACGTCGAGAAACGAAAAAACTTCGGGATTTTTTTTGTATGGACGTTAGTGTGCGCGTGTGGGACACGAGTTTGTTCACCCTGTTTGAAGCTTAATAACTCCTGTGCTTTTTGTCGAAAATTTCCTAAATTCTGCGGGGAGACAAAGAAGGTCGTGTGTATCTCCAGTAGGGTGGACTTATCGACGGTTTTACTGGTTATTAGTATTTATAATTTTTTATAAAACCCATCCCTTCCCTCAAAATCAAGCTATTTGCCATTTTATAATTGTTANAAAATACCGCCGACGAGAATACCACGACGGAACCGACACCGATGGGGACTTCCAGAGAGAATTTTAATTGTTAACGCACTCGGGGTACCTCGAAACGTCAAGAAATGCAAAACATTTCGGGATTTTTTTCTGTATGTATGGGTGTATTTGTATGCGTGTGAGGGGGTGCGATTTTGTTCAGCCAATTCGAAGCTGAATAATTTCCGTGCATTTTGTCGTACATTTCTGAAATTTTACACATACGTTTGTGTATTACGGGGTTTAATGACATTAAATTTGACTGTTGAAAGTTGAAGAGATGAAGAGGTGGAGGAGTGTCATTCGTCGTATTTCGAGAGAGATCGGACTTTAGCATTTACAATTGTTTTAGGAAACTCATCCATACCCTCAAAATTAAGTCCTTTGCCATTTTATAACAAAATCTCGTGTTCATTTGTCCAACCGAATAACGTATAACTCCGGATAATGGAGATTCTAGCCAGATGGATCCATTATATTTACTGTACGATGCGAATGAGTCCTTATAATAATACAGTAGAGCGTCGTTTATCCGAATCAATTGGGACTGGGGTTGTTCGGATAACTTATTTTTCGGATAACCGGTCTGCAGAGAGAACTTTCTATAGGAAACTAGCTTCTATTTCGGTGTTACTAACGCGAAGAAAACCCAGAAAAATCTGATTGGGCAGCCTGTTGTAGAGTGCGAACCCGCCAACAACTGCTGGAGTTCACTGGCTTTATTCACTGAATCACTGGTGACAGTTCTGACTAGAAACTATTAATATGTATATATATGAATCAGGATTATATATTGTTTGTTTGTTCGCTATATATATATACGCATATTATATTCACTTAATTGCTGCGTCAACGATATCGTGCGTTTATTTTGCGCCACAAGATTACTGACACAGATAGCGTATAGCCTGTGTTACCCTGTAAAAAGTATACAAGTATTTAATTTTTCACATCTAACATCAAATGCATTTCCGAACGGTACTTTCTTAATTCTAAAAAGTGTCCTCCAGTAACCGAGTGCATTAAACCACCGAACACTGGTAGTTACCCAATCGTGGGTTCGGTCATGGCCAACGGGCCGGTCACGTGGCATTTTCTGGGTTTTCTTCACGTTAGTAACACCTAAATAGGGCCAGCTTTACGTCAAAGTCTTCCTGGAATTCATTCCCCTCGAAAGATCGCTCGCGTGTGGCGTTGCAGTAACCAAATAAACCAAACCAATTCTAACCAGTGATTATTTATTGCAGCGATTCCCAACCTGTGGTACGCGTACCCCTAGGGGTACGCGATAGGTTGTTTAGGGGTACAGAAAAAAGTTAGTTATTATGGCAGAAAAAATAATATATTATGTATCACAAACTAATAGTATTAAAAAATTATTAGATAAATAATGTTCCTTGCAACAATCACAACTTTATTATACATTTTTTCTTTTAGTTTTTTTTTCTTTAATTTAAAGTTACAATATGTAAATTTAACAATACGGTTACTCACTAAATTTCTTAAATGAGGGGTACAATCTAAAGATATGACATGTCACGGGGTACAATCTAGAGATATGGCATGTCACGGGGTACACTAATGAAAAAAGGTTGGGAACCACTGATTTATTGTGACCTCATCGCGATGCCGGGCTGCAATTTTTCGTCACAATGTTCTCAATTCTTTTAGTGGTGGGTTGCCCCTGTAACTCACACTTTTCCTGTTAGCAATAGAGTCGTGCCGGTTATCTATGTGACTTCGTTTGGGGGGAAAATTTTGAATCGAAGTAACGTGACCTCCGGTCCAAACGGGAAGTTTGTATATGTCCGTAATTTTACGTATCCCGGGCGGCCGCAGACCGTTTATTATACGTAAAATTTTGACGAACAGAAACGTAAAAATCTTGCGGGTCATTTTTTGAATTCCTTATTTACGAATTGTTACCAAAATTTAGCTTACACGCGCAAAATACCGCCGACGAGAATACCACGACGGAACCGACACCGATGGGGACTTCCAGAGAGAATTTTAATTGTTAACGCACTCGGGGTACCTCGAAAAGTCGAGAAATGCAAAACATTTCGGGATTTTTTTCTGTATGTATGGGTGTATTTGTGTGTGAAGGGGTGCGATTTTGTTCAGCCAATTCGAAGCTGAATAATTTCCGTGCTTTTTGTCGGACATTTCTGAAATTTTACACATACGTTTGTGTATTACGGCGTTTAATGACATTAAATTTGACTGCTGAAAGTTGAAGGGATGAAGAGGCGGAGGAGTGTCATTCGTCGTATTTCGAGAGAGGTTGGACTTTAGCATTTACAATTGTTTTATGAAACTCATCCTTACCCTCAAAATTAAGTCCTTTGCCATTTTATAACAAAATCTAGTGTACATTTGTCCGACCGAATAACGAATAACTCCGGATAATGGAGATTCTAGCTAGTAAATATNATTTAATTTTAGTTTTGTTTTGGTTGCTATGCCTTGACTCTGGTCCGGCATAGTACTCAGCCACCGGTGTAAACCGAGTACAACCCACTAAACCCAACATAATAATAATAATAATAATTGGGTGTTTATATGGATCAAATAAATACGAAAATACTATAATTTCATTACTATTTACGGTACCAGCTTTCATTTCTAATCAGTAATTCGTGTCGAATTTCGGATATCGGTCGGTTGACCGACCATCCCAAACTTTTGCAGCTGCCGCTTCCTCGATTCCTTCTGTGAGAAAGTCTTGGAAATATTCTTAGAAAAGCTTTTCTAAGAATCTGACTCGCCTGGTAAAGCCTTTTATACAGCTGTATTAAAGCCCATTATTTGAAAGTCACTCGATCCTATAATAATGGGCTCTTCGCCCATTTTTATCACTTGTGTCCTTACCATACTTTGTTCTCGATATCTGGAAACCCTTTCACGTAATGCTTCGTCTTACTCGTTTTAATAGAGGAAAGGGGTGGTTGATTCTCACCCTCGTTCCCCTATGGTGACGATTCGGTCGAGTCTCTTCCCCCAAGACCCTTTGCCGCCCCCGTGCTTCTTTGCGCCGCCGGGAGTGGTAGGGCCCATTCTGGGAACCGCCGAAGTAGACGATGGTTTCTTCTCGGTTCTTCTACTTTCCTCAGTCTGTCTGGGTGAAATTTTCACCCGCGAAACCGGGACCGTCGGCCGCCCTCGAGGTGGGGCCCGTTCCCCTTTCCACGTTATTTCTTTTGAAGAGCGAATTTCTTTATTAACCCTTTCCGCCTTGTGGGCACTAAGAGGGGCCTCTTTTTGCAAGCCCATTATGGGTTCGGCCGGGCCCACAATGGGGCTGCCGGGTGGTGACGGACCACCGCCGAAAAATTCCTGGGGATTTTTCGACCCGTTCGAATTTGAACTCGGGTCCCCCAGAGCGGTAGGCTGCCACCTTGACCGCTGGGCCATCCGGCCACGAGTGGTCCGGAGTGTCCGCCCCGACCATTTTTCGTCGTCCGCGATGACGTATTTCCGGCGGCCGACAAAAAAACACAATTTGCCAGGAATTGCGGGTATTTTTTATTATTATTAATAAAACCGTGTCAAATGTGTGACTGTTTTTGTATATATATATATTTCGTGTTTTTGGAGTAAAATAACTCTCGTTTTTTTACAGTTATACAAATGCCCACCCGTCGACAGAGAAAGAGAGAGATAGACAGAACGAGAGAGAGAGAGAAAAATTAAGTAAAATACTGTAGCTGCCTCCGGAGAGTACGGCGGATCGATTAGTTCGTCCCGTCACCGCTAGATACCGCCGCCCGGGACGGGGACTCAGCCGCGGTCGAGTTAGTCCAGGTGTTGGCCAAGGTCAGACGTGTTGGCACGTTAACGAAGGGACCCGGCGGGCGCCTCGGTCGAGGGACAGGAGCCATAGCGCCGCCACTAGGATCCAGGATGGGATCCCGGCCCCCGGGCTGGGGACCGCCTCCGATGCGGTCGGAAGTGGCGAGCGGTCCGTCGGAAGCGGGAAGTCAACCGAAGTTTCCGAAGAGAGAATCTGAAACGAAAAAGAACATGGTTGATATGGTTGTATATAAAAAAACAACGTCTGTACGAAGGTTTAAGGCTGTACGAGGCTGTACGATATGTTTGGTCCGTCTTTCACTAGCGAGTTGGTGAAGCCTGCTGTCAAGCTTATTTTGAAGCCCATTGCGGGCCTGGCCATGCCCACGATAGGCTTGAAAAAAGGCCCTCTTATAGCCCAGAGGATCGAAAGAATAAAAACAAATATTCGCTCACCGGTGGTGGTATACTCCATTGCGGGTTAAACACCCACACGGGAGTAAACTTGTACTACCTGTAATCGGAAAAATTATCGCAATACAAAGAAATTTGTTTTCCAAATCTAAAAATATGCCGAGTGTTGCGCTTTAAAGAGCAGCACCAAAAATTCTTTATATTACTTCATAATAAAGTTTGCATGATTCAATTTTTTGGGTGTGTTGGTCCAATTTAGTGGGAATTTAGAGTAATTTAGTGAATTTAGATTCGTGGCCCATATGCTAATTAGCAAGGAAATTAATAATCAATTACTAAAGGCAAGCTCATAATATTCAGATTCTCGAAGTAAAGACTTAAAGTCCTTCCTTAAATTCCATGATGTAATTCAAACTTTATTACATCAAACGAATTGCAATATGATACAAAAATTTATATTTACAACAAAAGAATTCTCTTAGTTCTTTATTCATAAGTACTATACATTACCTCGACACGAAAATTTAATTTTTTTACACGTATTCGGGACAAAGATGAATAAATCTTTTACGTAAACAGATCAATGAAAAATAGTAAATTGCTTTTAATCACGTTTTTCGTGATTGTAAATTTGATCGAAATTTACAAAAAAATCTGGCTGGTGCGATTTTCCTGGCACTAAAACAGGAAGTTAAGGAACCTTGAAAAATTTATACTTTATAAAATTTAAATACTGTAATAACAAAAGCTTAAGAGAAGTAATTTTGTTGAATTATGATAAAAATTTCCATTTAAAAAAATATTTAAATTTAAAAAAAACACTACCACACTAGCTGAAAGTTTAAGGCCGGATGGCCGAGTGGTTACGGTGGCAGCCTACCGCTTTGGGAGGAAGAAAAGTATAATGTATAGGGACAAGCCACTACTAATAAATAATTTATATTAATTTTGAGCTACGATTTTTAAAAACCGAGCGTAAATTGGGTTTTAAATAAATCACATTGATTTAAAACAGAACTTTCAGTATATATCATTTCAAAATTCAGAAAATAAACCCAGTTTTACTTTCCCGGCTGTTATATATACAACACGGGAAAGTATTGTAATCGTTTGAAATTTGACCTTCCGAGTTTCTTACAAATCTCGATGTTTTGAGACTCCTTAAATTCAAAAAAGTAAAAAAATCTCGTGTATGTGTGTGTTGGCATTTATTTCGTTTAATATCTCAGAATGGGGTAAAGATTAAGAAATGAAATTTGGAACCAATAACTTGTATATAAGAGGGCATCGATGTTATTAAATTTTGGTGGTTAAAGGTCAAGGGGGTGGGAAGGTAGAGGGGATCGCGTGCCATATCTCTAACAAGGTCGGACTTCAAAAAATTTTACTCGTTATTGTCATTTACAATTTTTTGAAGAAATTCGTTTTTACGTTTAAAGTTAAGCTTTTAGTCTTTTTATAATAATTAATAATATAAAAGTTATTTTTAATAACGTCTTGTAACAGATGACTCCACACAATTTTTTTTAACTTTGAGCTAGTGTCATAGTGTTTTTTTCACCGAGAAATTTATCCAACTCGTTGTTGGATTTTTTTTCTCCTTGAAAGTCGAAACTTTTATGTGAAGAGTAAATCATATTTTGCATGGTTTAAAAGTATTCATTTCTAAGGGATTAGTTCAAAAAAAGGTTCATCCTCTAGCAGATCCTGCAAAGGAAGCCCCATTTTTCCATACAAACACAAACTTTTCTATTCTTTCAAAAAAAGGCCCATTATTTATAGACTATGCCAAATAAAGACTTATTTTTCTTTAAGGCTTTTCAGAAAGGGTTATGTTCGACGGTAACTTTAAAAAAGATTTATTTTTTGAATGAATATTCAAAAAAACAGTTTATTTTCTATTTGCTAGTTAAAAAATAACTTTCTGTGTGACTGGAGAAAGATTTATTTTCTACAAAATTCTTCAGAAGAAGCATCGAATTTTTATAAGGCTACTTCGAAAGAGATCTTTTTCTATAGCACTACTTCAGAAAAAAATAATAAATAAATAAATAAACCTTTAGCTGCTTTGAAAACGGATTTATTAGAGCCATTTTAAAAAAGATATCCACTTTCTCCAGAAAGTAAATTTAATCTTCCATAGGAAAAAAAATATCCTTGTATAGAATACGAGTTTAGAATAAGCGGAATAAAATGTAATGCGAATATTATAAATGTTCGATGAATCGATTAAATCCATTTGCATTAATGCTTGATATTTGGTGAGATTGCATGAACTAGATAACTTATTGGTACATCCTACGCTTTGTTTCTATGGTTACGTTAATCGCAATTGGTTTATTCGTTATTGATTTGGACTCGTATACGTCAGATAAATATCCTTGTACCAGAAATAATAACAAATATTCATATTCATAAAAGATTTTAACGTATAAAAACGCAATTTTATCCCGAATAAAACCGGTATAAACGTAACAACCGGCAGTTCGTGTTACCATTTTTAAATTTTCCACGTTTTAGGCCATTCTAAACTCTAAATAAATATGATGTACAAGTGACAAATTTAAAAAAAAAAATTATTATTATTACAAAAATTTAACGTATGTCTGTAATTTATAATAATTGATATTTTCTATTTACTTCTCCATTTTTCGAATAATTTTAAATATAAAAAAATATGAATAAAACTTGTAGCTTTGAAGCAGCTTTTTCTTCTTTCTTTTTTATTTAATGCGCCTTTCCTGTTTTCATTCTTGAATAACTCCTCCTGAAAAGTAAAATCAAGTTAAAAATGAATACAAAACACGGTTCAGTAATCAAGCTTTTACTGCTTTCTCTTTCGGTTTAACCTTTTGTTTGAATTTATTTTGCTCAACATTGTAGTTCCTTCGTCCATTTTTGCCATTCTTATCACTTTCCAGCGCACTTTTTTTATATTCGGATGCATACAAAATATAAAACTTATATAAAATAATTATATAAACGGAAAATAAAGATAACTTTATTAAAAAAAGTACAGAGAAATCAAAAATGTATGAAAATAATCACTGAAGAAAGGTCAAAGATCAAATTTGAAAAAAAACAACTTGATTAAAACAGTAAAAACTTACTAAATTAAAAAGAATAAATTATTTCTTATATTAAATTTATTTACAAAAAATTTTGTAATTCAAAACAAACTTAAATTATTTTTTTTCCTCCTTTATTTTCTTATTTTAATGCTCTCTGGAGATTACTTTTAAAATTGAAAACTTTGCACATGAATGATGCAGATGGATATCAAATTTAGCCCAAAAATTCTTTTTAGATAAAATTACATTTTTAATTTAATTAAATATATCTACAATTTTTTTTTTTTTAAATATCTTAAATTTGATTAAAGTGGTTTTATTTTTTAATATTTATCATATAGATTCAAGTAAAGTTAAAGATATTTATATTATTTTTATGCTCAAAATCAATTACATGCAACTTAATAGAATTAAAACGTTAAAGGTATTTTTTATAATAAATTTATTTAATTTAACTGTCGAGAAAAGTTGAAATGAAAGTTAAAAAAACACAATTTTCCAATGAATAATCCTTATAAAATAAATTTTAACTCAAATAAATCGTTATTTAAGAATTCACACTCGTAAAAACATTATATTTGACATTGTACAAGCTTAAATTTACTAAAAATATATATAATTTCTTTATTTTTCCGTATCGAAAGCCATCAAACGTGTCGATAAAATAACCACGTGTACGTATAAACCGACACGAGAGAAAAAAAATTCAAAATTTGATTATCCCGTAATTCTGATGCGTCGTTAAATTAAATTACGGGAATTCTTTGTTGATGAATATTTGAGTTAATTGAATTTTCGTGTCGCTTATCAGCAGAAACTAACCACTTGAAAAGTGAGAGTCACTTCCTACGTTCGACCACGACGAGATCGAAGTTCGAAATGATACTGCGCAGTCTCCGTAGCCCTTATTACGCAGATTATTTTCCTCCCTCGGCTAACGTCGTAGATTATATTGTAATAATAATTTACGTATTAAATTATGCAACGAATAAGATGTAATTAATTATAATTTAACCTCCATTCTCGTTCGCATTGTAATTCACGTCACCGACGTGGAGTGGCGTGGCGCGTATTATTTCGGGGATTACGATAATAATTATTATTTTCGGACACATTCGAATTGTCTTATAATTAACTTAAAATCGTGACGAAGTGGTCAATTTATAAAAGTAAAATATTATAAAATTTATTGGAGACACGAAACGGTCTTTATTTGTATCGACCAATGGCGTAATTGTGCTTAGAGGGGTATATTATGACGACATCGTTTATATGCAAATGAGACTAAACGTAACATTTTTGTTTTGGGGAGACGTAGATCCGCCATGATGGTGGAGAATAACGAAGTTGAGTTTCTTACGGCGTATAAACGGTAAATATATAGCAAAATAACTTATTAAAGTACGATTAATCGTTGGTTTTAGTATCGGATACTTGTAGATCGCATATATTTCGCAACGGATAAAGAAATGACCCGTCGACGACGAACGCCAAGTTGCTGCAAAACGACAAACGAACAGTCACGTGGTGTTGCAGATTTAATAGTAAAATGCATTTAAACGATAATTTTCCATTAAAATATACGCTAAACAAATATAAATCTGAATAATTTGGCAAATTGTAATAAGGATTTGGCCAGAGCGGAAGTGAATACGACAGACGACTAAATCAAACCTGGTCACGTGGTCATTCATTGTTGAAACGCGCCATTTCGAGGCGTTGTCTTGGATTCAAATAGTAATAGAGATTTTCGGCTGCGGATTTCACTTTTTGTGAAATGGATGCTGTTGCGAGGTACTATTAGGATATGTTGCTTAGTAGTTATGGCACCCGCCCTTGTAAAGGCGGTTAATATCTTGGTTAAGTACTCGTTACAGATTGATTCATTTAACAGCACGCATTGTGTCATTTACTGCCTCGTCAACGTGTGCCTCATCGATTTAATTGGCTTCGCAGCCTTACCAGTTGAGTCCACTGGTCGTTATATTTTTTGTTTCTGGATACTCTTTAGCCCGCATCCATCTAAAATAGACACTTCGGATGGGTGGAGATCAAAAGACCGAAGCCATCCGAATGGAGTAGGTGATTGCGCACCTATTTTTTGTAATCTTATGATGAATAGAGATATTTCTCCTGTACGGGACAGTATGGGTCTTCTCAGTGCAAATACGTCTTTAGATAGCGATTTTAAAGTGCGTCCCAGTTTAGAACATCAGTCTGCTTTTGGTACCGTCGAACGGGAGTTGCTGGTGATGTCTCCGAGAGAATTAGAAGACCCCTCCGATCTTACCGTCTTTGGAACTGTTTCGAATGATGTGGACCGGCGACCTCCCACCCCGCCGGAGAGCAGACCCGGCTCCGTTCCGATGGGCGGACTAAATACTCCGGCGGCAGAACTTAAGAAGATCGAAAGTCGGACCGCCGCTCTAAAGAGAAGGGCGGAAAATCTGATCAGAAGGTTACGCAGATTGGAAGCGGAAAGTGTGGAGTTTCACGTGACCAGACAGCTGCGGGCTTTTGTGGATCATCAGCAAAAGAGCTTGGGAATTTCGTGTCAGAAGAAAGCTTATCATCTATCTAATAGAGGAATTAAGGATTCTAATATTTTTAAAACAGAGTTTTTACAGAACGAAGATGTGAGAAACCTGTCGACTGCCGCTTTAGTGAAATTAGTGAGAAAGTTAGAATCTCGTGAAACCACAAAGTTACTATCGCTACACAAAGGAATACTGCTAGACGTCGAGAATCGTGTGAATAACGAAAAAGTGATTTTAAAATTTAATTCCGAAGTATCCACAGAAATGAATAGAACGGCAGGGACTTTAATATCGAATTTGAAACATCTCGAATTTTGTATGGATTCCGATGTGACGGAAAGCAGTTCGGGAGGCGAAAGTTGCAGCGAAGACGAGGACGACGGAAGTGTCGGCAAGAAAAATACTCCGCCAAGCATGTGAGTCTGCATGATTATTTTCAATAATTTTTAGTGTTGTAAATAGTACTAGTCTTAACTACAATAATTTTTGAAATTGGATCAATAGAAAGCTGTGTGAGGTTATTTATTATTCAAAAAGGTTAGTTTAAAATTGATTTGGCTTTTTACCAAACAAAAATATGTTCTAAATACATTTCTAAATTTTTTTAAATTTAGAATTTGATACAAATTACTGTAATTTTTGGTTTTATCTATAGCATAGCATTTCAAGGTAGCTATAAAAATTGACATGAAGTGTCAAGGTGAAAGTTCTTTATCGGGAGAAATGAAATAAAATAGTGGCATTTATTATAATGGATAAATATGAAAAATTTGATTTGACATTTTAGAATCTTTGCGTGATTATTGAAAGTAATATTGGAGATGAACAATTTTTACCTTCTGAAAACACTTTTTATTGATGTTATTATGTGTACAGAACAAAGAAATTTTCGAGATCTTTTTGTTTGTAATTTATGACTATTAAAGATTTATAATTGAAGATTTAAAATTTTCAGAATAATTCTAAAATATTTCTGTAAAAGGGATTTATATTTTTTCATTTTTTGTTTTAAAAAATTTTTTGTCATCACTTATTCCAAAACCAGAAGTTTGTATAAATTTCAACAGCATTAGTAATATCTAAACAAACTATTTGTGAAATTTTTGTCTTTTGTGTAATGTTGGTTTTCAGATACTTTACATGCTGTGCTGTAGCTAAATGGCAATTAAAAATATCTTACGATCCTTGATCTCTATACAGTGTATTTTAAACTGTTCATATTTGAATATTCAATTCTGAATGAATCTTAATTCTTTAATTGGTAGATTGGCATCATAAGTCTTTTTTTTTTTTTTAATAATTATTTTGTAATATGGTAAAACACGACTAAAACAATTAAATGAGAATTTTGATTTTTACTGAATATATTAATGTAATTAATGCCTCTAGAGTTGCCTTCTGTGATCTATTTTTAAATTAAAGTTCAATAAACCTGCATTATGCAATTAAGAATTTTTATTGGATTTTTTTGGCTGTTGAAGTATACCGATGTTTTTTGCTAAATATTATAGAATAAATTATTCTTTAAGTAATTATTTAGTATGCTTGCTTGTTCATATAATGTAGTCCAGTTTTTTTATTTTCATAAAATTAATCAAAAGAAGATAGTTTGATCCTCTTTTTAATTGAAAGAGGATTTAAAAATTTGAAGAACTTGCAATTAGTTTTCTTTAAATTTCAGTTTGAATTTATTGATTATAAATGTGTTCCCTGACTTATTGACAATAAATGTATGACGTCGGTATTTGAATTATGAGCTTTTAATATTTGTGTTCGTATTGATCGGAAGGAAAGATGGTAGAATACAAAGATATGAATAGAGTACAATAATTAAACATAATTATAAAATATTTTAAGTTTTGGTTACAGAATGTTAAATTTAGCATGAAATGTAGGTATGCATTGAATACATAAAGACTGAGTAAATTGTTGATGAAAAGCTGAGCAATAAGATTTTTTTTATTTTAAACATAGAAACCATATGTTAATAAAGAATGAACCATTTAAAATAATATAAAAATAGTGAGAATTGAATTATCCTTCACATTTAATATCTATTCTTAACATTTTCTCTGAGATTAATACTAATTTTGAATTTAAATATTTTTAGAAACTTCTAAATATATGGAATAGTTGCATCAGCAAATTTAAAATATTGATACAATTTTAATTGAAGATGACAATGTTAATTTTCAGAAACTAATCACTTATCTACATATCAGGAAGAACTTAATCTGTCATCAAAATATGTAAAACATCATTTTTTTTTTTTCATCCATTTATTTGGGTCAACTTTCTAAATCCTTTCCATTCCAATCATTTAAGATACTTTCTTTTGTCATTTTGTTCTGTTTCGTCTTACTATATTCTTCTTTCTTCAAGATCCTTTCAGTTATTTTATCCTCTCCATTCCTATAAATTATGTGTTCACTTTAAGATTGAATTTTTGTATATTTTATACAGAAATGCAATCTTAAATAAATTTTTCTAATCATGATGACTTTAGAGTCTTTTTTTTATTTCACATATTTATTTAAACATTGCATTATCTTTTGTACTCTCTGCTCTTGACATTTAGAGACAACATATTTTGAATTAAATATATCTTAAAATTGTGTAAGGCATTAATTCTTCCAAATAACTTTTTATTCTGAAGTTTGATAAAAATTCAATTGAAGATTAATAATCTCCACTGAATAGCATTTTGTGAAAATATTAAACAGAAAGCTGTTTTCATTGTGTTATCTTTTAATTAAAATGAATATTTTAATTAAAAGATATTTTATTTGAATATTTTTATTTATATATATATAACTAGCTTACCCGTTGCGCATTGCTGCGATCTCAGAAGAAAGGAAATTCAAGCAAACTCGTTATGATAAAAGTCAATTTACATTTTATCGTTTTTATTGAAACTTATTATTATTATTCATTTTCATCGGGAAAACATTTCAAAGTGTCGTTTCAATTCTATTTATTTATTGGAGTGCTTTGTGGATACACGATATTTTTTGTTTTTCCGTCTGGTGCGTACACGAATAAATCGGAAGGTTTTTCGACGCGTGAGTTGGCCACATACAGTTGTCCATGCGAGAAGCACGGATTCTCCAAATTTAGCCCCCACACTCGCAGCGATTGTCAGAAGTGCGATATTCCCCATTTTTATATATATTTTTAAATCTTTATAATTTTAATTATTTAATTGCTCCTTCCTCTCTTCCTTGGCATGTTGTGAAATTTCTGATAGTTGGATAATAAACCGTTTTATTGTAATTTGTCTTTTTAAATTATTTTGAGTCGATATTAAAATTTGGAAAAGGGGGATCCCTAGATCGGTAAAATAGGCGAATTTCCTCCTACAACTTCGGTTGTTGTTCGGGATACAGTTAAGGTTTTAACGAAGTTCGAACGAATACATAATTAACAAAAAAAAAGTTGAAATAAAGTGATTAAACAAAAATTATTACAAATATCGTAAATAACAAATGCATATATAGAGATATTTTTTGGAGGGGGGGAAATGGTCTTCACAATTTGAAATTGATCGAACACACAGAACACACAGTGCTCGTATACACTCGCGCCATCTATCGTAGGATAAATGTACTTCGTGGGAGTGTATTAAAAAACTTTCCAAAGTTTCATGGCAATCGGATAAACGGTGTGGTAATGCATGAAGGACAGACACATACACGCACACATTCATTTTTATATATATAGATTGAGACTTCACAATATTTAATGTTGTGAAGAAAAAGTATTTTTATATTATAAACTATAATTATATTGACACAAATGTTAACTTAATTATGTATAGTTATTAAGAATAAGCCAAATATTTTGACTTTGTTAATTTTCAGTATAACAAAATTAAATACAGAAAAATGAAAGTGGCAAAGTATCAATAGTTTAAGTTTATAGATTTACTCTTTTGTTAAAACTGGTTATTGTTCTCTTAGCACATTTCTAATTTAACTATATTATTATTATGAGGATTTTTGTATACATCACATATTTATGTCTTCTTGATTTTGAACTTTTTTTATGAATAACAAAATAGATATTTTAATTTTTTATGCTTTTAGTGTCCTGCTCTGTTAATATTCTGTTTAACATTTGTACCATATACTGTAGCATTGTTGATCTCACCATTGATTTGTATAATTGTTTACTTAATCACGTTAATAGTTGTTATACATTATATTTGTCTTGATTCATTTTATATCCAATTAATGTTAATGTTTATCAGTCTCTATTATGTAACACTAACTCTAGATATTGAAATTTTCCATATATTATTCTGGTTTTAAAATTTTACCAAAATATTTTTATTTCATTGATCATTAAAGTTAAATACTATAATATATATTCAGTTTGTTCTATTGATTTTTAGTCTTACTGCATACAAAATCTCATTTTACCGCTCTAGTTTAGTGTTCACTTCTCTCTTGAACTATCAATCAATATCATACCACCTGCAAACAATATATGGCTGCAGAATATCTTCTTGTACAGCAGCAATCAGTTCATTGAACATGAAAAAGAATATGAACCTGAAACATGTGATGCAGACTTACTGTAAAGGAATATTCAAGTACATCAGATACTTTTCATTGTTTAATTCTAATATATCTATATACAATGTCTTTCCCTTAATGATCACCAGATTGTTACATGTACTGTCAGCCTAGAGTAGGTATTTGACAAAATTTGAAGATTTGTAGAATCTTCTGGTTCTTTCTCTGGTTTTCTCCTTTATTTACCACAATAAAAATGGTTTCTATTGTTCTGATTATAAAATTATTTTTAGTAATTGTTAATATCTCAAAAGTTGACCATATATATGTTTTATAATGCAATTTATTGCTCATTCACTCTTTCATGTATTAATGTCAGAAGTGACTAATTTCTAATTCTTTGCAAAAAAATAAGGTTTTTATACTATCTGAAAATAATTTTTATTTTCTAATTTCAATAAGTTTGTTAATTTTCCTTTTTTTTTTTTTTTTACTTTCATTTATATATTTTTTTGAAGTGTGTTGACAATGCAGAATGTGTTTTTGTTTGTTTTTTCTTTTTTCTTATGAATATTTCAATTTTTCTTGATCAATTCTATAAGTTTTGTTTTTATTTCTATGCTTAGTCAAACTGTCAAAGATAGAAAATTGATAATTTTTTTTGTATCTTGTTTTTACTCATGAGAAACTGGAAGATAAATTGATATATTTTTAATATTTTTGAAAAATAATTAATTTAATCAACTCTGGTTTGAAAATAATAAATTCTATGTAGTAAAAATTGAAAAAAAATTGATTACTATAAATTAGCTGAATAAGCTTTAATTTCAGAAATATTATTTATAAAGATTTTATAGTCATGAAAACTGCTTTCTATTTCTAAGAATCCAAATATGTTT